ATGGTCTGTTCCACAGTCTGCTCTGGCCTTGTTTTCACTGATAATATGGAGTTTTTTCATCATCTCTTTCTGAAGATATAGTCAATTTGATTTCTATGTATTTCATCTGGCCAAGTCCATGTGTATAGTTGCCTTTTATACTGTCTAAAGAAGATATTTGAAATGAACAAATCATTGATTTTGCAGACTTCTATCATGCGATCTCCAACATCATTTCTATCACCAAGGCCATATTTTCCAACTACCGATCCTTCCTTTTTGCTCCACCTTTGCATTCCAATCACCAATAATGATCAATACATCTTAATTTCATGTTTGATCAGTTTCATATTGAAGAAGTTGGTAGAATTCTTCTAGTTTGTCCTCACTTGGCTTTAGTGGTTGGTGTGTATATTTTAATAATAGTGGTATTAACTGGTCTTCCCTGTAGGCATATGGATATTATCCTATCACAGACAGCATTGTACCTCATGTCTAAGCTAGATATGTTCTTTTTGTCAATGAATGCAACACCATTCCTCTTCAGTTTGTCATAGTAAACCATGTGGTTTCAGATACAAAATGGCCAATACCAGTCCATTTCAGCTCACTAATGCCAAGATGTCGATGTTTATACATTCCATTCCATTTTTGACAATTTCTAATTTTCCTAAATTCATACTTAGTACATTCCATGTTCCGGTTATTAATGGATGTTTACAACTGTTTCTCTTCATTTTGAGTTCTGCCCCATCAGCAAATGAAGATACCGCAGGCTTTACTCCATTTGAGTCATCATGGTCAACTCTACTTTGAGGAAGCAGCTCTTCCCCAATCACATTTTGACTGCCTTCCAACTTGAGGGGCTTATTGTCTGGCACTATATCTGACAATGTTTCTCTGCTATTCATAAGGTTTCCAATGTCTAAATATTTGGAAGTAGTTCATCAATCCTTCTTCCTAGTCTGTTTTCATTTGGAATCTCATCTGAAACCTGTCCGCCATGGGTGACTCTGCTGGTATTTAAAATACTGGTGGCATAGCTTCCAGAATCACAAAAACTCACAAGCCACCACAGTAGGACAAACTGACAAACAAGTGGTGGAGTTATAGTGTTGGAGGAGAATATTGAAAGTGCCATGCATGGGCTGCCAAAAGAACAAACAGACCTGTGTCGGAAGAAGTGCAGCCAGAGTGCTCCTTGGAGGCCAGGATGGCCAAACTTCATCTCTCATACTTCAGACATGTTGTGAGGAGGGACCAGTCACTGGAGAGGGATATCATGTTTGGTAGTGTGGAGGGTCAGAGAAAAAGAGGAATATCCCCCACCCCCAGCAAGATGGATTGGCAAAGTGGCAGCATCAATGCACTCAAGCATGGCACTAATTGTGAGATTGGCCCAGGATCGGGCAGTGTTTCATTCTGTTGTGCATAGGATCACTATGGCACCTACTCAATGGCACCTAACAACAACATCATTATAACAAAGTATAGACAAAACTGGAGAGAATGAATATTCCAGAACACTTAATTGTGCTTATGAGGAATCTGTATACAGACCAAGAGACAGTTGTTCAAACAGAACAAGTGGAGACTGAATGGTTTAAAATCAGGAAAGGTATGCATGAAAACTGTATTCAAACTATATGCTGAAAAAATAATCCAAGTATCTAGATTATATGAAGAAGAACGTGGCATCAGGATTGGAAGAAGACTTAATAACAACCTGCAATATGCATATGATGCAATCTTGCTTGCTGAAAGTCAACAGGACTTAATATATTTGCTGTAGAAGATCAAATATCACACCCTTCAATATGGGTTGCCCCTCAATGTAAAGAAAATGAAAATCCTCACCACTGGACCAATAAATAATATACATATAAATGTAGAAAAGATTGAAGTTGTCAAAGACTTCATTTTGCTTGGATCTACCATCAACACTCATGGAAGGAGCAGTCAAGAAATCAAATGATGCATAGGGCAAATCTGGTACACAAGACCTTTTTAAAATGTTGGAGAGCAAAGATGTCAGTTTAAAGACTAAGGTGTGCCTGATCCAAGCCATGGTATTTTCAATAGTCTCATATGCATGTGAAAGTTGGATGATGAATAAGGAATATGGTAGCAGAATCCATGCATTTGAGTTATGGTGCTGGAGAAGAATATTAAAGTAACATGGACTACCAGAAGAACAAACAAATTTGTGTTGGAAGAAGTACAATCAGAATGCTCCTTAGAAGTCAAGATGGTCAGAATTTGACTCCCATATTTTAAACATATTATCAGGAGGGACCAATCCCTGGAGAAGGACATCATGCTTGGTAAAGTGAAGGTACAATGTCGAAGAGGGAGACCTCCAACAAGATGGATTGGCAAAATGGCATCAATAATGAGCTTAAGCATAGCAGCAATTGAGAGGATGGCACAGACCCAGGTGGTGTTTGTTCTGTTGTACACAGGGTTGCTATGGGTCAGAATTGACTTGATGGCACTTAGCAACAACAGCGTTTGGTATTGAATTTATTTAGAAGAAGATGTAGGAGGAAATGCAGGAAAGGAAGAGAGAGGACTGAAATCTGTTAGAGTTAAAAATATGTTCAAAGTATTGAACAAGGCAGTCATGGTTTCAGAAAATCTTATGCTGGGATTTCAGAACAGTGAATTGATTTTTATCATAATAACATAAATGAATGTGGCACAGTATGTCTTAGGGAACAACATTTTCCTAAATATTTTTTACTAAGATTTAACTTATTGAGCAATAATATATCCTATGACCTTGAAGTCACTTCATTTTGGCCATTTTCCCAAGCTTTCTTCCCAAATTCTGGTTCAATTATCAAGAGTCAATATGTTTTCTACTGTATTTGAAGTTCCAGCCAACTGTATAATGACTGTTATAAAAAAATGTTTATTACTTACCAATAAGTGGATTTCTTATCAAATGCTGCTTGGTAACAAAATCTTACCACAGATTTCATTTTTAAAAGTCTTGAACAAGGAAGTGCTTCACAAAGGATCAAAGAGCAGGTAGGAGGTCATCGTATGAACTGACAAAACGGACATTCTGAATTACAGTGATGATAATAAGGAGGAAAGTAGAGAACCAGATGCAAGAAGAAAAGACTACACTAATGGGAAATCATTGGGACAAGGATACTGATGACAGTTGGTATCCAGCATGGGTCATTTTATGTTTGAATGATAAAGAAAGTAACATGTCCTTTAAAGAAATAGAATGAGAGTAAAGATATATTACTTTTCTGGAATGTGAAGAATACGAATTACAGCTCCACAGTTTTATTTAAGGTGCCAATAAGCATGTAATTATATATATTATGCATGGAATAGAAAGTTTGAGGCTGGAATTTTCAGGGATTTCTGGTGTACCACTGAAGATTCTAGTGTAATTTAGAAAGACATCGCACAGCGAGAGGAAATCTTTGGATCCTGAACCTGAGACTTGTCATCAGCAGCCCAAGGTCCTTCCCTGAGTTCTACAGGGTTATTTTTCCAAAATAAGGTATCTTGCCCATCAAAGGGTGTTTTTCTCATAAACAACTGGATATAATTAAAAGTATCTGAGATTTATATTTTAAAGCTCCTTTCTCATGTCTTGGTTCTACATGCACAAGCCATGTAACCTTGGGTAATACAGCCAACTCCTCAGAGCCTCAGTTTCCTCATTTATAAAAGGGGGCTTATTTTAATCATCACTGTATTTCAATTGCAGGGTCACTAGGAAGTCTAAAGTGTAAAACAAATATATGAGCGCTGTACAACACAAAAATTAGACATTATTTCCACTGATTATGTATCACCTGTCACTAGAATGAAACAGTGTCCTGTCTCTTCTCAGCATATTAGAGACAGACTGAGTGCATAATCAGCACAAATTCAATCCCCAAAATAAGGAGATTGATATGATCCTCACATGTCTATTTGTTTAACCTCATTGCTAGCCAACCCCATGGCACTCTCTCTCTCTCTCTGACCCCAGTCATCTTGAGCTAAATCAGAGCTCACAAGTTAAAAGGACACTATTCTCAGACTGCCAAATAGACAGGTGCCAACTACAAGTTTAGGTTGTCCACATAATGCTCTTACTTTGATCTACTAGCTCCTACTACCCCTGGAAGTTCAATACTTCTCTGGAGCAATTCACAGAATTCACAGAGTATACTATACTGTAATTAAGACTACAGATGTATTATCACCAAAAATAATGTAAGTAAGAGATAAATAGGATACAGTCTGGAAAGGTTTCCAACTTGAAATTTTCATGTCCAAAAGGACATGCTACATTCTAAAGAGCAGTTCTTTTCAACCAGGGAGCTCTCTACATGATAGACAAAATTATGACCTGAGGCTAGTTAATATCAGTGCACCAGTTCCTTGTTTATTCCCATTGGCCCTATGATTCTTCTGTCACCTGCAATATGATTGATGATGACGACATTCAATTACAACACTTCCTTTCTCATGTGAGGAAACTAAAGAAGGACTTCCTTTATCTGAATTAAGAATATAATGGGATGATTAGGATGATAAAACACTCAGAACAAAAGAAAAATATACATGCTAAAGAGCAACTTTTACTTCGTTCCCTCTCTATGCTGTTACACGTATAAAGTATTTCTGTGGAAAGAAATGGTCCAAGTTCTGTTAGAAATAATTTTCCAAGTGCATGTAATCCAGATTAAAAAAAAAAAAAAAAAGCATTGTCACCTGACAAAGGCAAGACTGTCTGCTAATGGAGGATATTCTAACAGTCCTGTGATACATACAATAACTGAGTTTTTATTCTTCTTGGTATGGATACATAGAATCTATGAGCTATATGGGCTCCTATTGCTATGATGGTGTGTCCCCTTCTATGTTCTAAAATTTATGTTATTGAAGTCTGATGAGTTACAACAAAAGCCACTGACTGAAGTAGAATGAAGCAAATAAATAAATGTCATGAATCCAATAATTTATTTTGTCCATGTTCTCAGGAGACCAGAAACAACTGAGCCATGAAGACCTGGCTGAACCAATCATCCACTGATGACTTTGTCCTTTTGGGCATCTTCTCCCACAGTCCAACTGATCTTCTTCTTTTCTCTACAGTCATGGTAGTCTTCACAGTGGCCCTCTGTGGGAATACCCTTCTCATCATCCTCATTTACATAGATCCTCGACTTCATACACCCATGTACTTCTTCCTCAGTCAGCTTTCCATCATGGACCTCATGTTGGTCTGTACTAATGTGCCAAAGATGGCAATCAACTTCCTGTCTGGCACAAAGTCTATATCCTTTGTGGGTTGTGGCCTACAAATTGGTCTTTTTGTTTCTCTTGTGGGTTCCGAGGGACTGTTGCTTGGACTCATGGCTTATGACCGCTATGTGGCCATTAGCCTCCCTCTCCTCTATCCCATCCTTATGAGTCAGAGGGTCTGTCTACAGATCATTGTAGGCTCCTGGGTCTTTGGGATAGTCGATGGTTTGATTCAGATGGTGATAGTAATGACCTTCCCCTATTGTGGCTTGAGGGAGGTAAACCACTTCTTCTGTGAAATGCTATCAGTATTGAAACTAGCCTGTGTAGATACATCCCTTTTTGAGAACGTAATATTTGTTTGCTGTGCTTTCATGCTCTTCTTTCCCTTCTCCATCATTGTGGCCTCCTATGCTCGTATCCTGGTGACAGTATACTGTTTGAGCTCTACTCAGGCTCGTAAAAAGGCTTTAACCACCTGTTTTTCCCACCTGATAGCTGTCTCCCTCTTCTATGGGGCAGCTATGTTCACTTACCTGAGGCCTATACATTACCGAGTCCCTAACCATGACAAGGTGGTCTCTGTCTTCTACACGGTTTTTACTCCTATGCTCAACCCCCTTATTTATAGCTTGAGGAACAGGGAAGTGATGGGGGCACTGAGGAAGGGGCTGGGTAGTTATAGGATCAGCATCCAACACTGAAAATCAGGGTGTCCCGTGGCTAGCTTTGCCACCTCCTGACTCACTAAGTAAGTAAAAATGAGTCTAAGTTAATCCATTAATAATAAGGATCATGACATCCCTACCTCACAGGGATACTGAAAGAGTAACCATGCACTTAAGAAGGTCTTCTTAAAGAAAGTAGTGCTCTCTAGCTCCAGTGAAAAACCAACTTCTGACACCCCAATCATTTGTGAATGATTCTTTTTTAAAACATGATCAAAAGGAATGCAATACTTTGTAAACTGAACCAATGTATAGAAGCAAGGCATTGGATTTTTTAATCACTCATTATTTAAAACTGGAGTTAATTCTACTAAAAGAGGATGCCCAGAAATTAATTGCCTAGTTCTTCTTGTTTATTTTCCACTTATTCAAAGTTTACTGTGTGCCAAGCCCCATGCTATGTACAGGCATACTTCAGAGTTATTGTGGTCTTTGTTCCAGATCACCACAGTAAAGTGAATATTGAAATAAACCAATTCATAATAATTGGGGGGGGCGGGCTCCCAGTGCACATAAAAGTTATGTTTATACTATACTATAATGTATGAAGTGTGCAATAGCATTATGGAAAAATTTGAAATATTCTGAGATTGCCAAAATGTGACACAGAGACATGAATCTAGTACATGCTGTTGGAAAAAACTGACTCCAATAGATTGCCTAATTCAGAGTTGTCACAAAACTTCAGTTGATAGGGGGGAAAGGCAATGTCTGTAAAGATCAATAAAATGAGATATATCTGTATATATAAACTATTTGTCTCATATTTATTTAATGCCTCACACTACTAGACCCTCACACTAGTGTCTTAAGTGAAAGGCTTCCTGATAGCAGAAAATTAGTCTGCATAATTATCTTGAAGAGTTGCCATCTTTTACCTTATGTAATTGAAAACTTTATAGATTTCTTTTACAAGGAATAGAAAGGTGATGTCTTTGATATTCATGAGGAATTTGGTAAATACTTGATTGTTGTGTGTTCACTGTCTGGCACATAGTGAATTCAAATGAAAATTCTCATATATACATATAATACTTGTGTAAAAATTTCCCCTTATTATTACTTTAGTTCTTGTAACAGGAAAGCTGGTTAAATGATTTCCCTTTTGGGACATTCAGAACAGAATATAAAAACTTTCTAATAGCAGTACAAATATAGAATTTGTACTGCTATCAGAAATTTTTATTTGTATCCATCCATCTAAGTTCTTAAGGAATCCTTGTAGCATACTTAGTTACATGTTACATAACTAAACTTTTGTGTTAAACTGCTAACTATAAAGTCAGCAGTTCAAATCCACCAGTCACTCCACAGAAGAAAGATGAGGCTTTCTGCTCCTGTAAGTTTGGCAATCTTGGAAACCCTATACAGGGTTGCTATGAGTCAGAATTGATTCAACAGCATGCAGCAGCAACAGTATCTAAGCTTTTTACCAGTCTTTTAGACATATTTGCAATATGAATGTCTTTTTATTAGAAAAAAAAAAAAAAACAACAACTGATCTTTGTTGAAGACAGAGGGGAAAGTGAAGACAGAATCAAGTTCTGGGAGTTAAGCTAAAAGTTGTTTACTCAATTTCCAGGCTTTGGAGAGAGCAGAGAGCAGTGGCACTAACAGCAATTACTAGGGAGCGATAATATTAGATCATGCAATCAGTTTAATTCTCACAACAAACATTTTGTTGTGCACATCATTATTTCCATTTTACAAATGAGAAAACTGGAACACAGATTGGTTAAGTCCTTTTTCCTCATTACCCAGTTTTCATGCCCACCGTCCCCCCGGGAGGAGAGTTTGTTGTAGCAACTGGGATGATCTTTGCAGGAGCCCCTTTCCCCTCTGAAGTTCAATTGCTAGAAACTGAGGACAATAGCATGATAGAGGTGGGATTTCTGAGGATATGTGAAAACAAATTAGTCACAGGAGAGGGAATAACTGTGGGTGGAAGTGATGGATGTCAGGGAATTAAAATCTCTCAGCCAAAAGTGCTTAAACTGGTCCCATGAAGGGTCTTTTATATAGATTAAAGACCCTTCCTGTCTGGTCCAGCCCACTCATGTCCTGCTTTCCATTTGGATAAGGAGTGCATCTTCTCTCTCTGGAATAATTGTTTCTGAGAGTTTTTATCTTAATTATTAAGGATTCTATACATCAACCAGCATCAACACCAGTTTAAGAGGTAGGCTAAACAGTGGTTGCTGAGATGCTGGACTTAACAGAAACCGAAATTTGGAATGTTAAACAATTATTTTGGCAGTAGGGAAAAAAGAAGGAGCAAATAATGATGTTAGAAAAATCACAGTGATTAATGGTAGGGTTTTGCAGTCAATTATTGTAATTGCTGTCAATAAGTTGTGTGCCTATTAGACATTAAACTGGAAGTTGTGTGATAGATATATTTACAACAATGACCAAAAAAAGAGCAGCTCATGAGGCTGCTTTGTACGACCAAAAACCTTATGGGATACGGTTTCTTATTTCAGAGTTTTAAGCTCATGGTTTCATAAGACATCCCAGTAAATTGACCTAATAATGGGTTTAGTGTTTCTGGTCTACCTTCTTGTTCATTGCATAGTTCCTGGGGTCTTTAAAGCTTGTAGACAAGTGGTATGACAAGATGGGAGACTTAGGCAGAAAGGCTGTGCAGACCCTCTAGAGCAAGCATACAAAAAACTAGATGAGACAGATGCAGAGGATAGTCCTGTAACTCTGAGCTTCATATGAAGGGATAAAGATGTGGACTGAGTGCTTACTGGGAGAAGGAGCTCAGTAGAGAAGACAAGAGAGATCTGCCACCGCCATCTAGGCATTTGTTAGTGACTTCAGATACAAGAAAACACATTCATGTTGCAGAAACTTACCTGTAGCTTGCAGAGACAAAGGTGTGATTTTTTTTCTTGTTCTACACACTACAGAAACTGGGCTGGCCTACACCAGAATACTACTGAGGGAAGATCCCATTCTCCAGGCTGTCTGAGTCCCATAGAGGTCAACATCGAGGTTGTGAGAACTATTGAAGGAGCGGGGAGCTATCCTCAACAGCCCCGATTGGGCAAGCCGAGCTCCAAGTCTGCAGTCAACCACGGACAGCCTTGGACTAGGTCTCAATAGTATAAGTGGAAAAATGGATGCATGAGGTAGAGGAGGAAAAAAAGAAAGACTGCTTATCTGTGTGAACCAGCCTGATGCAGCAAGACCATCTTGAACTTTCACAGGCAGTTGTGAAGGAAAGAGGCCAGTACTTGGCACAGAGGCATACTACTTATTGGTGGAGAGAAAGCCGTGGACACTTTCCTTTCTTTCTTCATTACTATTTTTTGTTGCTGTTGTTGTTTGCTGGTTTGTTTGTTTGTTTGTTTGTTTTCCTTCTGTTTTATGGGTGTAATTTCTCTTCTTGCCTCACCCAAAAGAAGAAAGAAATTGTGGCCATACAGACCAGTCACAGATGTACCCCCCTCCAACCTAACCAATTGGGTTAGCGTCAATACCAACTGTTATACACTGGATTAATAACAACAACCAACATCAGCTAAATACATCTTGAACTGAACAGCATGAACAGAAAACTGAGAAAAGTGCACAAGCACATTGTTAACATGCAACAGAAGGCAGTTGGTAAGTACTTAGTAACACACCAACATACATCCATCAACTTAATACAAATACAATACCACAATGCCTCGAAAGCAGTAGGCAATTTCCATTCACATGAAGCAACAAGACAGACTAGCTCAAACAAATGACCAAGAGGTAGATAACAAAATATTTTTGAGGGGAAAGAACCACTGAAAATACCTGAAAAAGAACTTATAAAAATGTTATTAAGAGATCTCCAAATTATTGACAGAAAGATCAAGGAAAACAAGGAAGAATTCAGAAAAACACTATAGGAACAAACAAAATAGATGCAGGATTGGAGACAGAAATCCAGAAGATTAATACTGAGATATCAGAAACTAGCAATACATTGAAAGGGCAAAGGAATAGATTTGAATCAATAGAAGCCAAAAATAGTGAACTTGAAGATAAATCTCTCAATACTAATATACTAGAAGATCAATCAGAAAAAAAGAATGAAAAATTCTGAAGAAAGTCTGAGATTCATGTGGGACAACATAAAGAGGAATAACTCACAGGTGATCAGAATTTAAAAAATGAAAGAGGCAAAAAAAAAAAAAAAAA